TCACGGGAGTCAAGGAGGTCTGGTCGGGGCATTCCTTAGTATATGTGTTTATATATTTTTATAGAATGCTACAGACAAAGCAATACAGTATTTGAGAGAGGGAGAGGGAGGGGGAGAGGGAGAGGGAGAGGGAAAGGGAGAGGGAGAGGGAAAGGGAGAGGGAAAGGAAGAGGGAAAGGGAAAGGGAAAGGGAGAGGGAAAGGGAGAGGGAGAGGGAGAGGGAGAGGGAGAGGGAGAGGGAGAAGGAGAGGGAGAAGGAGAAGGAGAAGGAGAAGGAGAAGGAGAAGGAGAAGGAGAAGGAGAAGGAGAGGAGAGGAGGGGAAAGAGAGGGGGAAAGAGAGGGGGAAAGAGAGGGGGAAAGAGAGGGGGAAAGAGAGGGAGAGGGAGAGGGAGAGGGAGAGGGAGAGGGAGAGGGAGAGGGAGAGGGAGAGGGAGAGGGAGAGGGAGAGAGAGAGAGAGAGAGAGAGAGAGAGAGAGAGAGAGAGAGAGAGAGAGAGAGAGAGAGAGAGAGAGAGGCGTAAATAAATCAAGGGAAAAAGATTGTGATTTAGTTACACTGTCTGTAGATTAGTTTTTCGCTGAAAGATATACTAAATGCAAACAATATTTAGTAAAGATTTCACTTATTTCACTTTTATCCTTTCTTTGCTTTTGTGTATATGCTAATTTGAATAATTTGTGTGTCAAATACATAATTATAGACCTCACTGATAAAGGTAATTTTATTTCCATTCGTTTTTCACCCATTCGCTAATCTGAATCCTGTCTCTGTCCTTGCGTGAAGGACTTGCAGTGGAATTTCGGTTCGCTGTCCGTGCTCCTGGCGTGGTTCGACCTGATCTTCATGCTGGGCACGATCCCTACCTTCGGCGTCTTCGTCTTCATGATCAACGACTTCCTGCGGTTCATGCTGAAGCTGTTTGTGATCGTGTTCCTGCAGGTGATCGCCTTTTCCTTCGCCTTCCACATGCTCCTGCGCGGGAGGGCCTCCTTCAGGAACCTGCCTTGCGCCATCATGAAGATCGTGACGATGATGCTAGGCGACTTGGGCTACGACGACCTCTTCAACAACACAGAGAGCCCCCTGCCGTATCCGACGGTCAGCAACATCGTCCTCGTCTACTTCCTCTTCCTCATGGTCATCGGCATGATCAACATCCTGACGAACTTCCCGCAGGAGGTTCTGGACAAGGCCAAGAAGCAGACGGAGCTCATGAAGCTGTCGAGGCCGCTCAACGCCGTCCTGGAGATGGACTCCAAGTTCCCTCTGCTGCGCGGAAGGTACACCGTCGGCTGGGTGGTGGACGGCCTGCAGAAGGAGGACGAGGTGGACGGCAAACGGGGGAAGGACGGCGAGGAGGGCAGCGACAGCGACGAGGACGCCCCCGAACATCCGCGCTGCTGCCCCTGCCGGAAGGAGCCCTCCGAGAACCTTCTCCTCAAGATCCTGAACGAAGTGAGCGCCCTCAGCGAGACCCTGGAGGAGAGGAGGTACTTCTTGCCTCACCGCCGCTCGAACAGCAACAGGGGAAGCAGGAGCTGAGAACGGCGGCCGCAGCTCCCCCGTCGACGCCTGACGCAGGGCACCCAGATGCCAGCAGCTTCATCACATTAGAACTGTTTTCTGGTGGAGCCATTCGCCGTCGTAGGTTGTTATCTGTAACCATGTCCCTGCATATATTTGTTTTATAAAAGTTCTGTATGCTGTGTTTTCTTACTCGTCTCAATAAAACCGCTGTGTTGAGCGTATCGTTACGACGCAGTTACAACTATCAAGACTATTTCGGGTTAACAGAAGCCTATGACGCCTCCCTGGCCCTTCCGTCGTCTTCTGTCCCTCCAGTTACTCCGGCGCGACTCCTTCTGCTCACCTTCTTTTCTTTACTTTCTTTGCTTACTGTAGTATCGTTTTCATCGCGTCTTAAACTGCACCATTCATTATTTTGTCATTTCTATTTTTATGGATATGTTTCTTCATTTTCCCTCATTTCTTGTTCATGTTTTATTTTACGAGATGACATTTCGATGCGGCTTATTTAGCTATTTTATCTCTCTATTAAAAAAAAAAATCCTTCAATCATATGTCTTACACCCTGCCAGGTTCGGAAAAGATTCTGTATGATGCTGGTTTTTATTATTTATATATTTATTAATTTATCTTTTTAGATATTGAGGCCAGTGAAGAAGTGAATAATGATCATGATGGATGATGGTGGTGAAAATGATTACGATAATGTTGATGATAATGACAGTAATAGCAGTGATGCTAATAATAATAGTAAGAATGAAAATGATAATAATAATGATAATGATAAAAATAATGATGATAATGATAATAATAACAATAATAATGATAGCAACAGCAACGACAATGATGGTAATGATCATAATATAAACAATGATAATAATGGTAATCCTAATAATAAAAGATAATGATAATAACAAAATAATAACAATAAATGATAATAAAGAAAAACAATAGTAATAAGAATGATACTACTACTCCTACTAATAATAAAAATGCAAATAATAATAACGAAAATAATAATAATAGTGATACTACTACTACTACCACTAATGATAATAATAATAATAATAATAATAATTATAATTATAATTATAATAATAACAATAATAATAATAGTAATGATAATAACAGTAATAATAATAACTGTAATAATAATAACCATAATAATGATGATTATAATAATAATAACAATGATAATAGCAAATATATTAACAATAAAAACAATAATAATGATAATGAAAATGATAATGGAAATAATAGTGATAATAATAATGTTAATAACAATGGTAATGATAATAGTAACGACAATGATAATATTAATAGTAATGTTATTACTAAAAATAATAATAACAGTAATAATAACAATAATAATGATGATGATGATAATAATAATAATAATAATAATAATAATAATAATAATAATAATAATAATAATAATAATAATAATAATAATAATAATGATAACAATAATAATAATAACAATGATAATAATAATGATGATAATATTAATAGTAATTACAATAATGATAATAATAATAATAATAATAATAGTAATAATAATAATGATAATAATAATAATAATAATGATAATAATGATGATAACAATAATAATAAAAATAATAATAATGATAATGATGATAATAATAATAATAATAATAATAATAATAATAATAATAATAATAATAATAATAATGATAATAATAATAATAATAATGATAACAATGATAATAATAATAATAGTAATAATAATAATAATAATAATAATAATAATAATAATAATAATAATAATAATAATAATAATAATAATATAAGATAATAATAATAATAATAATAATAATAATAATAATAATAATAATAATAATAATAATAATAATAATAATGATAATAATAATGATGATGATGATGACAATGATACTAGTAATTATAATAGCAATGATAATAATGATAACAATAATAATAACAATGATAGTGTAATGAAAATTATCATGATGATATTGATAATAATAATAATAAAAGTAATAATAACAGTAATAATGACAATGATGGTAATAAGGATAATGATAATATTGATGATAATGACAATTATGATAATACTAATACTAAAGATAATGATGATGATGATGATGATAATGATGGTCATAAAAATGATAAAGATAATAATGATAATAACAATAATAATGATAATAATAATAATAATAATAATAATAATAATAATAATAATAATAATAATAATAATAATAATAATAATAATGATAATAATAATAATAATAATAATAATAATAATAATAATAATGATAATAATAATAATAGTAATGATAATAATAATAATAACAATAATAATAATAATAATATAATGATAATAATAGTAATCATAGTAATAATAATAAAAAATAATAATAATATAATGATAATAATAGTAATCATAGTAATAATAATAAAAAATAATAATAATGATAATGATAATAGTAATGATAATAATAGAATCAATAATAATAATAATGATAAAAGATGACAGAAATAACGATAATAACAATAAAAAACGTCTTTGAATTATGCTTCTGTTTACATTTTCTTTCGTTGTGTATTTTTTGTGCATATCTACCTTTGCCAATATTATCGTTCAGTGCCTCGTCCTCCCGTGGGTTTAGAGTTGATACAAAAGGAAATAAAGCCTTAGGTAATATAAATATTCCAATGGTGTTGTTTACCGTTTTCATTCGGTACATAATGTAATGTTATGCAAATGAGGCAATGACTCTTACTGTTCTCATTTAGTTACATTAAGATTGTGCGTTCATGTGAATAAATCTGAGAAAGATACAAAAATATTATTATTATTTTTTATTAAATATAGATACAAAAAAGGTCAAACACGTGTTCTTTGCAACATTATTTCAATCCTGATTTAAATTTGACTTTCTTCGACCCCCCTTTGACCTTGCCTGTGCTGACCTCGATTTGAACCCCTCCCTTCCCCTGGCCCTCCTCTCCCCTTCCCTGGCCCTCCTCTCCCCTTCCCTGGCCCTCCTCTCCCCTCCCCTGGCCCTCCTCTCCCCTCCCCTGGCCCTCCTCTCCCCTCCTACTCCAACAGTCTCCCCAGAAGGACCGTAGTAGACGCAGGAGGCAAGAGCTGCTGCTTCCTCCTGTGGCAGGGGAAGAAGGCGCCGCACATATCCTTGATGATTCTCTTCTCCTTGACTTGGTCCTCCACCTTCTGCGCCACCTTCTTCAGGAGTCGGAGTTCGCGGCCCGTGCGGGAAGAACCGGCTTCAAGGTCCTGCATCCTGGAGGAGAGCGAGTTCAGGTCGCGCCGGAGGCTCGCCAGCTGCTGCGGGGTCAACTTGGGCTGCAGAGGTCACCAGGGAATCAGGGAAGGGGAAGAGGGAGAGTGAGAGAGAGGGAGAGAGGGAGGGAGGGAGGGAGGGAGAGAGGGAGAGAGGGAGAGAGGGAGAGGGGGAGAGAGGGAGAGAGG